CCCCCAGAAACGTTCGCTTGGACTCTGGACCTGTATTCCACGAGTTGTCTGAAGGCGTGTTTTTAATGCAATAAAAGTATACATTTTGATAAGAAGACCCAAGCAGAGATCACCTCTAGGGACACAGAAGTTTCCAGCGACAGCCAAAGCAGGGTATTTCAGTCCTGGGATTTCACAAAGTTACACAGCATCTGTTTTGCAGTTGTTGTGTTCCACCCTTGGCCTTTTAAAGGTCCTTCACATACAGCCACATACTTCATTAACAGGTTTTTGCCCATTTCTCGGAAATCCAGTGACACGCTCTGTGATTTGTTCCCCAGGTTGGACTCAGAATCTCTCTTCTCAAGGCTTTCCTGCTTCCCTTCACAGTGCCGCAGTCCCCAGTGGCACATCTCTCCACTGTACATCATTGCCAGTAAATGAGTGTCACTAAATACACCTGCAAAAATAATTCAGATCAAGTACTCTATTGTTCCATTCTAAGCAAGCACACAGTTAAGTTCAACTACTTTTTTTTTTCTGTAACAGTAACGCTGGGAAAAAAAAATCCAGAAGGGCAGTGTAATCTTTAATAGGCTTGGTACACCAAAAAAACCCCAAATATTAATCATGAGATGACTGATGCTGCCTAGAGAGAACGTGTACCAAGCCCTTGCTCATTCCTCTATCCATCTTGCCCCTCCACATTGCTAAAAATATTTAAGATTGCCATATAAATATTGTTCTTACAATTGTGTTTATCTTAGAGAATTTCAGTACTTCTTTATCATCTATTAAGCACAGGCATGATTATGCAGATTTATTTTAGAATACTTTTGTGCTTCTGAGAATTTATGCCTAGGAGATACTGTTTGGGCATCATCTAAACTCAGGTTAATCAGCTGCAGTTTTTAATAGTTGAACAGAAAGACACATACATGTCTGTGGTCACTGAGAAAAACAAAAACCCAGCTAAGTAAGCTGACCAATCCGTTACTGAACTTGGCTTTGCACTGTGGAGCTGAACAGAAGCAATGCCACGTCGAGATGAAATTAAGCACAAAGGTGCTCCATCCTGCCACAGCCAGAGCAAAGCTGGTTTTGAGCGTGTACAGTGTGGACACCATGTCCTCAGCACCAGCTCCTTTACCTTACAAATCATCTCCATTGCATCATCCTACCTGCAACATCACACTGATGCAGCCTCAGAGCCTCATATAAACATAACACAGTAACAAAGTAGAGAGAATAAACATTCACCCAACCTAGCCAATTCTGCAGCGTTTCTACCTGTGTGAAGTCAGTAATTCTCTGTTCTTATCTGTGTTCTCCTAGATCTTAACAGGAAGACCAACCCAGCACCTTCTGCAGTCATGTCTTTGCTCTCAACATTTGTCAGTTGAGAACGGGATGGTTGTAAAATACACATGCTGTGCATAAAACGCGGATTGTCTCAGCTCACTTTCCTCCAGTGTGCTCAAGACCACTGAAAAAAAAAAAGCACTGCCACCTCCTAAAACCCGTGTGTCAAAAACAAAGGTGGGAAAACACTGCAGACTGCTTGTCTCAACTATTTTTTGTTGTTCTAAAAAGTGAGGGTTTTGAAAACAAATTATGTGAAACAAGAAAAACATGCAATAATACATTTCATAAAGTGGGGCACAGTTTATACAAATTGTGGGTTGTGAGGTTTCTGGAGCTGTGGAGCTCGTTTGGTTTTGGGGTTTTTTTGTTTGGTTGGTTTTTTTTACCTTCACTGAGTAATCTAGCTGTGTCTTTATCTTGAAGTAAGACATCTTCATTTAGCTGAAGAGGGCATCTAAAGCCAAGCATCTTCACCAGGTAATGAACTCCATCATTAAGACACTGAGTACAGTCAAAAAACGAGGAAAAAGAAATCTTTTAGATGAGTTCTGATTAAGTCAGTGATAGTCAGAAATGCTTCTATCAATTTCCCAAAACTCTGTTGTTTTAATAGTAAAAAAAAAAAACCCACAATCTATATTTTAATAGGAAAGCATCAAACTTTAAAACCGTATTCACATGCTCATAGAATTTTTTAATGTCCTTTACCTTTTTAAATACAGCAATGTTTTCTCCTAGCCATTCACTCCTTTCTTTTGCTGTATGGCAATACATGTAAAGCAGGGCTCCTCTTCTCCAGTAAAGACATTCCAACAACTCTGCACCAAGGATGCTGGCAGGCTGAAAAGAAATCCAACAGACTGGGCTAACCCAAAAGTAAACCATCAGAACTACTCATATACAAACTCACAGATGCAAACAGTGTTATATGAAGTCTCTGACTTTAGAGGCTGTGCTTAACAGCAACAGTCACAGACACAAACCGAACACTTTGGATTTAAACTGCCAAAAGAGCATGGAATCAGGAAATGGAAGCAACAAAAATTCTGGGCACACAACAAGTTATTTGAAAAAACTACTTTCAAGAGTCACTATTATAAATGAAAGTAAGACTTGAAAATTTTTCAAAAGAACTTAAATTCTGCCCATTAAAAATGCAAATACTAGTATCCTGCTCAGATTTTTTATTTTTAAATAATGAAGTAATTAATTCTCTGGCTGAATAACATTAGTACTCACTTCCTCGTTTATGTTACATTCTCTCACTAGGTCTTCTGGTTCTGAAAGAATACAAATAAGTTCCTTAACTTTTTGCAAGGAAGACTCTGCTGGAAAATCTTCATCCACAAGCTGGTTTTCCTCGAAGTATGTAACATCCAAGACAGCCTAAGAAACCAAGAACATACATAATGTTAAAATGATACCAACAAAATAATCAAATAGCGATGCACAGGAACACAGAAACTTGTTACAGTTTATAAAACATTACAATTATAAGGCAACTGTAAACAGTTTACAGGAGCTGCAAGTTAGAAGTGTTGTGAGATTGCTGACAGTGAACATAACCTCTGACCCATTTCTCTCCTTACAGTACCAGGACAATTATTACAGACTCCAAGGAATCTTCCAATCCAGACAAAAGCAGCCCTGCTGAATTTCACAGATGTTTACCGCACACATGCAGTAACAAAGATCCCTTTTTCCTGTACCTTCTTGCTTACACCAAATCCTCTCCCACACCCTACACAGCAGAATTTCAAAGGGAGTTCTTAGTGCTTTAGGTATACTACCTGTGTATAGAGCTGCAGAAGCGTGGAAGTCTGTTCCGTCCCTTTGTTACAGGCCTCCTTCAATTTGTCCAGGGTAGCGGAGCCATTTGCTAAGAAGGAATCTGAGGGAAGAACACAGCGCTTGCTTAGCACTGAAAAGCACTCAGCACGAGCCTTGCTCACTCCCCTCCGTCCCTTCGTAGGGTTTTAGCTACCCTTGGGCTATCTGCAGGAGCAGCTGAGTAACACACCGTCAAAACAGGCCCGTTGTCCTGTTAGATTACAGCTTTCACGACTAAATTAAGGGCACTCGTGTCCCAAACCCAGTTACACACAGTCCATTTGCGACTAAGCGGTATGCCCACAGCACGGCCGGCTAATGCGCAGGACGCGTCTCAGGCCTCAGCTGCCCCGCTCCACGGAGGAGTCTCCC